ATACATTATTTACAATTATGTAAAGAATAATCTTTGTATTATATGAATTTTATTATGATTCTATTATAAAAATTTATTTATCCATAATCAAAACGAACTTTGAAATCGGAAACAAACTTTCGAACAGAGATCACGTGTCACACGTATTAGATGCATAATTAGACCATAGATATTTATGCAAATTCGAATTTTTAATCAACATAATGAGAGTTTCAACTAAATGGAATTTAAATACATATTTATTCCATTTTTTAAACATCAATGAACAATACATAGTATATTTTTTCGCGTATTATGTATATCCCATAAATTTTATTCAAATTTTCTATAAATGCATAAAAAGCAATCTACTCGTATATATAAATCATAAAGAAGATCAAAAATTCTACAAACGTACGAAACTCAGAATTACCTCTAAGGACCATGAAACAGTTTCGATACGATAAGTAGTAAAAAAGATTTTACTGGTCGAAATTCTAAGAAGTTTGTGACACTTTAACGATATTACACGGGTTAATGTTGCCGCTCGAAATCGGGTCAATGTAATAGTCGTTTGCCCTTGCCTCCGGATTCGTAAAGCAAACATTTAACGAGCGCGTGCTATCGCCCTGTCTCTCTTTTACACGGGATTCCACCAATGCTCCGCGAGGGTGTTGAAATAATCGTGTTCGGTTAATTGCACGACGCGTGTTAAAATTGGATGCTAAACATCCAGATAATTGCTCGGTTGGAAACGCGTTATCTTATGTAAATTTCGGGAAACCGTGTCAGAAATTCGTTTCGTCTCAACGGATGATGGGGTTAAGCTTCGCGTTAATTGCTTCTAATTATTTAGACGTTTGTTTTCGATTATTTATGATTTCTACTTGGTCGTGTTATTTATAAACTAGATACTAGAATTATAATAATGGAATATATATTGAAAAGAATATGGTATTTATATGATATGGTAAATAAACTTAATATAGATTGAATGTTTATACTTGTGATTTGTTATCAGGAATATTTATAATTGTAACATTATATGAACGTATTTTTTAAATTATTCTGCGTTTGTTTTTTTTAATTATTGAATCGTAAATACGAAATAATTTGCATTCGTTTATTATATTAATTCAAAACAAATTTAATTATTGTTTTTTATCGTATAAATTAACATAAATCGAAAAACAGTATATATATATTAACTAAATACTTTTCTAAATAATATTATGTATTCTCTTTATTGTATCAATTTTTTAATTAAAATTTCCCAAGGAGTGGTTGAGAATAATAAAATGTATTAAATAGATATCGACAGTGTATTCTTATCATTAATGTTCTTATCATTGCATTATTGTATTATATGGAATGAAAAACTAGGCCATTGTCATTTCGTATTTTTGTTACAATTTTTTTTAAATAAAACATTTATGAACATTTAATATTTATGTAACTTTTAACTAACATTACAACGAATAATTTTAATTCGTAAAAACAACTCAAAGAGAAAGAATAAATTTTTTCTCTCGTGATTTCTTTTTCAAAGAAATTGAATTTGAAAAAGAATTTGTTAGATAAAAATATAACTGATATCGATTCTCAATTGAATATAAATGGATTATTGATAGAAGGTTTCTCTATATGCGAAAATAAGTGAAAAATTTTTTAATTTAAATTCTTCTTCTCGAATAATCAGATCCTTGAAACTCGATGAATTTTAACAATTTTTTTTGAAAAAAATATGAAAAAATTGTATTCCATATTTTTTTTTTTTTTTTACGTCAAATAACTTTCTATCAATAATTCCAATAACTCATATCGGAAATTTTCCTATATTCGTTTCATCTCTATATGTTTCAACTCGATTTTTTCGAAAACCAAAAGTGAAAGAAAAATTATTTTTTTTTCTATATATTTCTTGATGCGTGAAATCATCTCTTATCCAATCTTTAATTTAACTTTCAATCTAACATATTTTTCGTATATTCTTTAATATATTCACGAATCATGAAACAAAAGATCTATATATAAAAATATATAAAAATAATTCATTCATTAAATTATAAACAGTTTGAGCTTAGATTAAATTAAATAAAATTCATCTTGATACAATAAACTTAAGACATCTCGACTTTTACATTTCAACTCTTTGTTTCAATCTTTCTAATTCAACACATCTATCGTTAAAAACACTTCATCTAATATACGTAGTGACAAATTATAAGCAAAGAAATCTAAATCACTTTAAAATTGCACAACATCACGAAGGAACAAAGCTGATACACAATTTTTCACATTCACGTTCACCAGAAGCCTCAAAAGATTATCCTTTTGACAATCGTAATTTACTGATTGATCACGATTCGTTCACCGTCACGTTTAATATCGGATGAGTTTCACCGTGTAACAAGGTTCCTTCGTCCCGACGTTGGAATTCAATTATTCGGGGTAAGAAAACGCGCCGCTTGTCGTCACACACACCCAATATCCCAGCGGGTATGGGTTCGCACGAGTATAATTCGTGGGACGAATGTGCGACTCGCGGCAAAAGGGAGAAGAAGTGTAGCAAGAGTATCGATCGATTGGATCGGTAACAAGGATAACGAGACGAGACGATCGTCTCGCGTGCATTAAAACCGTGCCCGATAATTTATGCATGCTTCTTTCAATACCACCTTGTCTTGTTTTACCATTCATCGATTAATCTGTCACGTCCCATATGAGCGATTATTATCTCGAATCTCGTGCTACGAATGCAGCAAGAATTTTCATATTTCTCAAACAGTGTCTGTCTCTTTTCATTCATTATTATGGAAAGGAGAACGGAATTGGGTTTTTAAATAAATTTTATTTCAACATTGTATTATTTTTTGCAATCTAATCAAATGGATAAAATTTAGTTATTATCTTTTATGATGATGGAATTATAATTCATTTTAATTACAGTTCTAAATATATTTAATGGTAAATTATGGAAGATTTAGTTCATGAATATATGTGTACAGGTACTTTTTTTAATTTAAAATTTATAATATTATATTCTGAGAAAAAGGAGTATAATCAAAATTATATTTTCTATAGGTTGTAATTAATCATATAAACAAAATTAATAAGAAATTATGCGGTATATACCATTGCATTATCTCTATTACTATCGATAAACAAGAATTAATTCAATCGAAATTAAAGATAAAATCAAAATTTAATCATATCTAATACATGTCCACAATTATTTCATACTCTGTTCAATTGATTAACTCATAGATCGATGCTCAAAAATTATAGAAAAGTTTATTATTATCTCTAATATACGTGTATATATATACAAAAGATAAAAATCGAAGGAAACGTAATCTTGCCCGTGAAAAGTTGAAATCATGGTGACAATCTGACCGTGGCGATAAGTGTAAATAAGGCAAGGCTGGCCGATAAGATTAGTCATCCAAGAAGACAATGAGGCGATGTCCCACCCGCATGAGGGTGCTGCGACCTATATACCTTGACCCACTGTCCACAGGTGAGCTACAATCCTCCGTCCTACATCATCTTATCTTATTTCTCTCTCGGTCGGCAGACCATTGATAACGAAGAGTACTATATATCACGTGTACGCAGAAATTATTTCGATATGTCGGTTGGAAAACGAGTTGATTACGTGTCGATCATTTTTTCGCCTCGGTTACGTGCCTGTTTTCTTTGAGCGTTCTGTGTGCCATTGTGGTCTCTGGCCAGAAAATTAGAGCCATTTTTTGCAATTTTCAATATTTTTTCGAGTAAAGACTCGAACGAAACTCAACTGCGAATTTTATTTATGATAATTCTTGAGACGTTTGTTTAAAAATATTTATATATATATATTTGTCATTATATTAGTTTAATATAATTTAATAAATAATAAAATTAGTAGTTAATAAAAATTATTGAAAATTGAGGTCGTAGATAAAATTTTCCACTTAATCGATTTCTTTTACATGAGATTCACGTACGCGATACAAATCGTATTCTTTCATAAAGCAATTTATAAATTACGATTCATGGGCGCACACGCATTATAAGATATTCGATTGTAAAATATTCAAATATTCTGATGTAGCTATATAAAACACACATCTGCAACTTTATTTGAAGAATGATGGATAGAAGCTAGCGAGAACATTATTTACATATTACGTGTCTTTAAATATTTACAGGATCATCGCGATGAAACTCGATATTATATAAATAATTATCTTCAAAATAAATACAATATCTCGTAATTAAAAAATTATTTCAAAATATATAAAAAACATAAAAATATATACGAAGATTCCATTAAAATCGAAAAATCAATTGATGCACTAATTTTCGAGAAACAGTTCCATATATTACCATTTTCATTAATCTCGTCGCTGACAAGTAGCCGAGAAATAGAAATACGTGTAAACACAAAAAAAAAAAAAAAAAAAAAAAAAAAAAA